CTCAATCAGCATAATTACACATCAAGTTTTTAGAAAGAACATAGACCTGTAGTACACTGGTCCCAAATATCAGTGTGTACCAGCTAACTATCAGCAAATCAGATAGCAGACCTTTACCAAAATGGAGAAGCTCTGCTTTGGTAAGCCTCAGGCCAAACAAAATAAAACATTGCCTAATTCCTAATTTTAGTATACATAATTGAATATGAAACTCTAATTAACAAAGCCCCTGTAAGAGGCACTGCAGAGGACGGGATGTCAAACAGAAAACCCTGCCGCTGGGCAATCAGAGTGGCTCTTTCATCCTGTGGTCCTACACAGAAGATTTTGAATCTAGATAGTGATTCCATGTTTTTATAAGTTTGAAAATAACTGATCTAAACCTAAATGCTGTTTGTAGATGACAAAGATTAAACCAGAAATGTTGAATGCTTACATGGGGAACATAAGAAAGCCAAGAGTAAAATTATCCCCTCTGATTTCCAGGTCATGTTCCACACAATGTGTGCAAGTCATAAAGTAATTACAAATCTCCATAGAATAATCAAGAAAGAATTCCACACAGCCATGGACGAGAGAACCACTAGCTCTGACTGTCTAACTGCCCCCCACTTATACCTCTATGAAACTTCAGAATACAAGGGTTTTGGTTAACTTTTTTGTTGCCGTGACTGAAAGACCTGAAAAGAACAGCATAGAGAAGGGAAAGTTTACTTTGGCTCATGGTTTCAGAGGTTCTGTTCATGGTCAGCCAACCCCATAGCTCCAGACTTGAGTTGAGGCAGAATATCATGGCAGAAGGGTGTAGCGGAGGACAGTCAGGACATGGAAACCAGGAAGCATCAGAATTCTGCTCACCAAGGACAAAATACAAACCCCAAAGGCACATTCCCAGGAGGCTTCTTCCTCCAGCCTGCCTACAGTCTACCTGCCTACAGTTACTGCCCAGTTAATCCATACCAGCGGGTTAATCCACCGATCAGATTACACCTCTTATAAACTAATCATTTCACCTCCAAATTTCTTGCATTGTCTCACATATGAACTTTTGGGGAACACCACATATCCAACCATAACAGCTAGCAGGTGGCATCTGTAAGAACCTTTGCACACAAACTATCTTCCACATTCTCTTTCTGATAAATGGGTACATATATTCTCTTTTATATTCTCAACAGGAAAAAGAAATCATTCACTCAGTTAACTTACATGTATTGAGGATAGGCTTTGTGTTAGTTACTATAAAGAAGATTGAACAAAACACAATTCTTGCACAGACAAGTGGGGGATAAGGTTAAATAACAAGTCAATAAATGATTATAATAATGTGTGGTATGTGCTATAGCTTGTGCACAAATAGGGTGTGATGGAAAAATAGAGGGAGAATACAAACCTAGCTACAACCCAGCCAAGGAAAAATCTTTCAAAAGGAAGTGATTCCTAAGTTTTGCAAAATGAGTCAGAATGCAATAGGAGGTAAAGGATGGAAGAAAAGTTTGGTCAGAAGAAAAAGCATATGCAACATAGAGGTGGATCATGATCAGAGAATGATCCTACTTCCATGTAGGTGTAGAATAAAGTTAAGGCTAGAGTTGGTGAGAAATAGGGATAGAGAAGTAGGTCAAGACCTAAGTAGAAAAGAAACCAGTAAGCAAAAATAAATATGAAGTATGCAGAGAAGATTAGCATTGTAGCTAAATCTCTCTAATCAACTTGCAGAAGAAGGATCAAAAAAACTGAGACAGGATATCTGAAACTCCCTTAGGAAGCCAAAGAGGCCCAGTGACTGAATTTCTGAAATCAGGCAGCAGCATAGGAGATCAGGCCTAGAGAACAGATAAGTGAGATTATAGGAATAGAACCAGCAGGATTTAAAGACGAGGAAGATGTATAAGATTGAGTTGTTCCTTCCCATATTCTAGTCTGAGCTGATGTATGTGTGGTACCATTCATTGATAAATAAATAAAATATCAAAAGTAGATTTAACTACGAAGAGATATTTAGGTTTTAATGTATTAAGTTTGATGGACTGGTGATTAAATAGGTAGGGATACTAAATAAACTATTAAAATAGTCTTAGGTTCTAAAAGTGAGGTCAGATTAAAGATTTCAGTATTGTTGGTGGTTAAACAATGAATGTTTGTGAAAGAAAATCAAAACAATATTTAGTTAGAAAGGAAAGTGAGACAGAATCTCTCAGGTGGCAGATTAAATTGAGAGTGAATATGCCTTAAAAGGCATTAAAGAGAGATTCAGGTGGAATGGGAAGTATCTTACAAGAGGCTGATACACCTCTTCTCACTAGATCAACCATTTAAAGATGCAAAAAGGCTGTCAACACTACAGTGTTGTTATATAATAAGCTCAATAGTCACTATTTTGCCAGATCCTAGAAAGAGTGTCAACTAATCAGTTTTTGGTGATCTACTATTTTGGTCAATTTCTTTCTTTCCAACAGATGCTCCTAGTTTAGTGTCACAAAATCCTGGACAGCCAGAAGTAAAGTCAGCTCCATCATTCATTGACCATGGCCACCATCATTTCAATCCCATTCATCTTCACTGTATACTCTTTCCACATTAATTTCTGGAAAACAACTCTCAAAACTCTCATTGACTGCTGAGCTAAAATGGGCAGGGCCTGAAGTAGATAAGACTTGTCTCCCAAACCATGTGATGTCAGGATAGTGGAAAGAGCTGAGGTAGGAAGAGTTTCCAGAGAAGCATACTCAAGCTCACTGTTTCAAGGCCTCTGGCAACCAAGTAATGAGGGGCAAGAGCTCTAAACAGTCAGAAGAGCCAACAAAACTGCACTAAGTAACAGCACGAGACACAATAAACCAATCCAGAAATAGAAATATCAGTCTTCACCAAAATTCCAGAACGGGTTCTGATAGGGATTTATGTGATTCTAGAAACAACTAGTTAAATAGAAGGGGACCAAAGAGACTATACCTACCCAATTTATTTGAAAATGAGAGGTGCTAGTATAGTTTAAAATAGGGTTGCTCACAATTAAGTGGAGGAAAAAAATGCAAGTAGAGATTTCTCAAAAGATTCCGTGACATTTTTTAAAAGTAAATAAATTTTCCATTTAGATTATAAAGAATAAGAAGGAGGTTCAGAAAAAAGGAAGCCGTATGAGGTAAATAACAACTGGGGAAGAGGGACCACCGATATTGTGAGGGAAAAATTTGCATCGACATTTAAACTAATGAAGATTAAAATCAACAGATAGAACAAATGTTAAAAGCTCTCCTAAAATGCAGAGGAGAGGGGAATGTTCTAAAGTTGAAATAAATTGGTAGACATAAAGGACAGACACTGGAGAAAAGCAAACAGACACTTTTCCTTTCTAAGCAATCAAATCATGTTCATAGACATAAGGGGAGGAAAAGGTCTGAACTACAAAAGATTAATTCTGGAGATTAATGTAAAGAAGACAGCTCCAAACGATTTCCTGGTGGAACTTTATTCTTTAAAGTTAAAGAGGGGGAAAAAAAAGTAGCAAGGTCATCAGTGGACTGAACTCAGGCCTCTCTATAACAATGTTAAATGCTGAGATACAATGGAATAGTATAAATAGATCTTTGAGAAGAGAAAGTTCTGGCCTCAATATTTCTATTCACAGGCAGGTAATCATTCATGTAAAGATGCAACAGAAAGGCATTTTTCAGATATGGAAAAATGTTGAAATATCACCAAATTATAGTACCCGAAATGATTTAACATAAGCTTAAAAGGCATGAAAGAAAACTAATGGAATTCAAAAATATTAATGTAGGCTATCTTATTTATGTAATAGTCAAAATAAGTAAGAGTCATCAATCTTACCCTTATTGTAAGTGTAAGTGGATTGCTGTCTCTTATTTTACTTGGATTAAAGTTTGATTTAGCATCTCTTAGGAATTGGGGTTTCAAAATATATCCACAGCCACCATTATCCAAAAATTTCCCATTTTGCAGATCCATGGGCAGACCAGGAGTTTGGAAATTCAAGGCCACTGTGAGAAAGAAGTATTTTTGACATTGTCAGGAAATTAGGGGTACAATTAAAAAGACACAGTTAAATGACTTACTGAAATCTAACCATGGGTTATTTTGCTTCAAATAATTCTGAGAACAAACATCACCAGCCTAATGATTTATGATTTTTAAACTTTTTCCTCCTGCCGTGTCTGTATTAATGTATGTTGATGGGGTGAAAAGTTTAATCTGAATATTAAATTAGCTTTGTGTAAAGAAGTCAAAATGGTACACAGTGTAGACTACACAGTAAACAAACCACACGTCGGGTAAATTCAAGAAATATAAAAATTTTAAAAATCGGTACTTTAAATGTCAGAGGTGAAGATACCAACTATATCACAGACTTTCAGGTCAAATGGGTGCTGTTATCATGTGAGGATTAGTGAGAAACAGGGTGACAATTGCTAAAATGTAGAAGTAACTTAATATAGCCTGATAAGTAGCCACTGCATGCAGTAGCCCCAGTCTCCCACTCTCCTTGATCCCACCAGCCTTGCCACAATCCATAGAGGATGGGCTAAAACCAGGCACTTTCCGACTGGCTAGTGCCAGGACTGCACCAGCTGTTCCCTTAGAATAAGGAGAAACTTATAAGGACAAATAACCACACCGTGTGATCCTACTCACTTTTCAAGACTATGAATATAGAATCTCTACAAAGTTTAAGTGACAGAGGTCAGTTGATCTGAAAAAGACTTGAACCTGACTTTCTGGCAAAGGAATGTGATCTTCTATGTTGTCTGCACATCTATTTCAGTTTGTTCCCTTCCTCCACCACATATGTCCCATGATAACTCCTCATGAATTTGGTTGCCATGTCACCAGCCCTCACCTAGATTTACCCTCTTCAACCTATTTAGGAATGATTTCAAATCTTGAAGTCAATGCTTCATCATTTTGTGCCCCCAGTGACAAATATATTTTTTCATGTATTTTTCATTAATTCATAAAATTAATCCAACTTACTTTTGCAAACAACCCAATGTAACATACCCATTTGACAACCTATATTCCAAAACTCTTGAGGATTATAGTTAGAAGAGTCTGCTCTTGTTGCTTTAGGATATATTCTGGTAATGAAATTCTTGGTGTGAAAAATAAACTCATAGGCTACAAGAAAAATTATTAAAACATTGTGAAAGATTTAAAATAAATAAACTACTACTACTATGTATTATATAATTCTACAATAGTTTCAATAAAGTTGTTACATATTATTTTGGCAAATCTATTAGTAATTCAGGAAAATCAAAATGAATCCCATGCCTTTTTTATAGTATAAATCATATTTGTTGATTAATAATAATTTCATTACCCAATTTATGTACACTGATAATTCACTTGAAGAAAAGAATGAATTCATTTTCATTTCTTTTTTTCCAAATCCAAATTAACTTCATTTTACTATAAGAATATATAAAATTTCCAAAATAAAATATATTTATTTTTTTAAAACAAAAGTAACATCTTTCCCCATTTCTGCTAACTTTGATTTTCACAACAGGATAGAATCACATGGTAAGTCATATGAAGCTATATGATGTTAGCTAAATTTGTTTGACTGAACATTTCACGGATTCACAGGTTCTAACCGTAACCTCAGTTCATTCAGTTCAGCTCCCACCCCTCCACTCCATCATCTTCTCCCCAAATTCATTCAATCTCTACTGTCTTTCACTAAAAAACTCACCACCAACTCAATAATGTTATTTACCCTCAATATCTTTCTTACAGACATTATTTCTTATAGAAATAATGTCTGTGTACAACATTGTTGGTATTTCTATTCATTTTAAATTACTTGAGACTTAAAACTAACACATACCTTTCATCATTTAGAACTCCAGTAAATTTTCAAACATAGATTTCATGTTTTTCCAAGATTTTCTTCTTCTACTAACCAGATCCTGTACCCACAACCATTCCTGCTAGTATGATGGCCAATTGTAGGAGAAGCAGTAATTGTGTATGGCCCACTATATTTGCTAATGGAACTAAGACAAAATCATTTCTTTCCTCACCCTAAAAACTACTCATTAGAAAGTATTGTCAATTTTTAAATTACAATTAATTTTTCATCAATACTTATTTTTGAAAGTTGCACTCTCCTTGAAAGTTATTTGAAACCATTCATGTAAACATGCCTGGGTGTATCATGCTTTCTTATCTAGTTCTAAGGGATGTCTGTCCTTAGGCAAAACACATACCCTTCCGGGTCTTAATGTTTCTCATGTACAAAGTAATACATGATTAATCACTGAGGGCCCATTACATAATATGATTTTGTCACTTCTGAGATTTTAACTTTAGATATTAAACATGATTTGATATTACAAATGCAGTAATTTGTAATGCAGTCTTTTATAGAAATATGGAGAAATCAAACAAAACAAGAAGAAATAAAATTACATGTAATATCATCACTCAGTTAAGAACCACTGATACAGATTGGTATATATCTTTCCATTCTTTTCTATTTATATGTTATTTTAAAAACTGCATAATATTGTTTATTCCCTTTTACAAACTGCCTTTCTTTATTATTAATGTGAGAACCTTTCCATTTCAATAAACTTCATCTACTACATTCTTTTAATGTTTATTATATTTGCAATAATACTAGGTACTTTTGAAGTTAAAATCTTTGCCAACTTCATTAATTAGTTACTACTGACTGTGCAAAAAAAGCTCTATACTCTCTGAAATCAGACAACAATGCTGCACTTTAAGATTCTACCTAGCACTACCCAATTCTTTCCAAAACATTTTGCAAGTTTTAATATGATGAAATTCAAAAAATTATAACTACTTCTGCTATGCCCAGAGGTCTTGTCCTCATAAATAATACAAATTTCTAATAGTTTTGAAGGAACAGAGGCCAATCAATAAAGCAGAACGTTCAAACTCTCTTGACCATATCACACAGCAAGAAATACATTTTACATATCAACCAAACACACACATACACACATCATAAGCACACAACTGTTTCATAAAACAGTGCTTATTCTTACTGCCTGAAATATTCTGTTGTATTCTATCTTTCCATTTCATTCTGCACTATTCTACTCTACCCTATTCTATTAACTGTAGTCCAGATCTATTATATTGATTTTTGGTTATAACCCTAACTGTAGTCCAAATCTATTATATTGATTTTTGGTTATAACCCATTGTGGTTTTTGTTTTGTTTTATTCCTTTTGGAGGGGGAGGGGATATAAGGGATTGAACTCAGTGGCACTAGGCCACTGAGCCACATCCCCAGTCTTATTTTGGATTTTATTTAGAGACAGGGTCTCAGTGAGTCGCTTAGCGCCTCACAATTGCTGGGGCTGGCTTTGAACTCGCTCACAATCCTCCTGTCTCAGCCTCCCAAGCCACTGAGATTACAGGCGTGTACCACTGTGCCTGGCTGTTTTGTTTTATTATTATTAAAAAAAAAAAAGCAAACATGCAGGTGGGCTTTAAATATCCAGGATCTTTCTAATAGTTTCAAAATATGAACTAAAACATACTTCAAAATGCTGAAGCAAAATGCTGCCCCAGTGAAGTTAACCAAAAACATATTAGTCTGCAATACCAAACACATTTTCTCAAGCCAATTGCAGGTGCTGATTTTCCTGCTGCAGTGTTTCTACACAAGATGGTTGGGTGCGATTCTTGTAAGAAGGATTTAGTGAGTCACCTGTTAACTTAGTTGCCTATCCCTTTGTGACACTTTCTATTATAATATCTAAAAAGAAGATGGTCTGTTTCCCATTCTCCTTTCCAGGGACTATTTTATTTCTGGTGTATCCAAACAGAAGAACTCCTTCAGATTTAGAATCAGAAGGCAGTTAGAAGAAGATGCAGAGACAGGCGGAACCTCTGGAGGTATGCCATGGCCCTGCACACTCTACACAGCAATCCAGTAGTCCAGCCTGGGTACTTCCCTCTCCTCTTCTTAGACACAGCCTCCAAGTCTAATGAGCTCTTCCCTCTTCAATGCTGTTGAATTTACAAAATTCCTGTCTCCACTCTCTCTGCCCTGCCATAAGCCTTCCTCATCTCCTTTCTGCCTGCAGCCAATGTCATCAGAGGTACCTTTCAGAAATACACAGTAGATCAGGCCATTCCTGAGGCTGCAGGCCATTCCTGCTCACCTTTGCACCCAAGACAAAGTCCAAATGCTCAGCCTGCCTCTGCAACCCTGTGACTCCCTGCTGTGCCACATAAACCACTCACCAGGCTCCCATCCACAAAAGGGTCCATGCTGGACATTTAATCAAAATTGTATGACTCAAAGAAGGTAAATAGCAGCTAAGTTCTGTGGAATAAAATTTAACATAACCTTAGGCATATGTATAACCCTATCTAAATTATGTTAAGTATGTTGAAATCTTATGAGAATATAAATATGTAAGTATCATTGATCCATCTCAACCTATATATAACTGATTTAAATGCTGCATTATTTAAATCATAAGCATTTACCTCTCGTCTTTGAAAGTTTTCGAGCGTGTGTCTCACCAATAGAATTATTTTCATTAAATTGCTGATATAGTCTTGAATATTGAAAGCTTTTGAACTTCTCAGCTTTAGTATAAATGACAAGATCAGATAAGGCCAAAGATATTCTTATCTTCCTGACCTAAAAATGAAATGTAGTCATTTCACATTTTTATACTAATCATTTGAAAATTTCCTTTTCCAATCAAGAAAATATACTTTCAAATAGATCATTTTATTCTTTTCATAAGATTATTTCCTCAAAAAGTATTTGGTTTAAGTCATGTGATTATTTTATGAATATAATATTTAATGGCAATACAGCTAGCCTAAATAAATTTAAAATTCAAATTAATATAATAAGTATTAAGGATAACAATTATTACTATTTTCTTTTTCTCAAAGATCTCAGTTTATTCTCATGAATTTTGTAAATTTAGAAGTTTTAGTCATGAGTAAGCATATTTCCAGTTTGCTCTAACATTTTGGAATAGCCTTTGTTCTTTTACAGATCAGAACTTATCCCTCTATATTTCCGAGTTTGATAGAGTGCAGGGGTGGGGGGGGGAGTAGGAGGATGGGCACAGGACACAATGACACATCCCTTGCTCATGCTTGATCCATGTGTTTAAATAAGGATCATGCAGGTTGGCCCCAGCTAGTAAGAGCTTTTCATCCCCCTAGAATCAGTAATTGGTTCAGAAATGTGCACATAACCAGCTCATAGTTGATGTACAAATGAAATTTTGCCTACTGTGCTAAGGTGTTCATAGACATGCTACTGCCTTTGAACCTGAAATGAAATGATATAAAGCTGAATTTTCACAATATTCAGAGAAAGTGAGACCAAAGATGGAGGAAGAAATAAAATCCTGTTGCCCTTAATTGAGACAGTATACCAAGGCACTCCTCAAAGTAAAATTCCTTTCCCTGAACCTGGCATTATGTGGGCCAATTACCTAATTCTTCTTTTAGTTAACCCAGTTGGACTAGTTTCAAGCCACATGCAAACTAATATACCTTCTTTTGATACACTAATATGTATAGTTAAAACACAGCATTTATAAATATTTTCTTCTCTCTTTGTGAAGGTGGAGAAATTATGTGGTTTATCTCTATCTTTTGTACTTTGCACCGTGCCTCATATATAAGAGCTCATAAAAACTGGTGACTATAGTGAAAAAAAAATAGGAAGAACTAACAAAATAATTATTTTTAATTTTATTTACTTTTTGTTTATTTTTTTAATTTTTTATTTTTTGCAGCTGTGGTGATTGAACACAAGGCCTAATGCATGCCAATAAAGCACTCTAACCATTGAGCCACATATTTAAAAGATTACTCTTTTTTAAAATATATATATTTTTAGTTAAAGTGGACATGATATCTTTATTTTATTTATTTTTTATGGGGTACTGAGACTGGAACCCAATGCCTCACACATGCTAGGCAAGTGCTCTACCACTGTCTATTTTTTAAAAGTAAAATTTAAATGATAGATCTCAGGTTTCATATGGAAGAAAATGATTCTTCTTTCTAGGGTCTTTTCAATTCTCCACCAATAAGAAATTAGATATTTTTCAATCACTTGTAAGAGTCTCGCAACGCATCATGTCACCTTCTTTTTCTTGAAAAGTGTTATTGGAAGTGTCTTTTTTTCCTCCATTTCCGTTTCTTGATTGAGTGTTGTCAAAAAATTATCATATGATTCTGTTTCTTTCACTTCTTCTTCTTCTTCCTCCTCCTGCTCTTGTTCTTCTTCTTCTTCCAATTCCTCCACTTTACCATGCTTATTAAAACCATGCCTTTCATGAGTTTCCTTTAGGGTTCCTATTTTCTTATTTTTAATGAGTACTTTGAACTTCAGTGCCTGTAGAAACAGTTTTGAAAGAGAGACACAATCACACATTTACGAGTAAGTTTGCATTGTTACAGCCATAGCAAAGTGTTTCGTCATACTTTCATGAGAAAGAAATAAAATTTCCCTAATGTTTAATGATGCAGAGCACCTTCTTGTATGCCTGTTGGGCATTTTTATGCCTTATCTGGAGATACATCTGCTAAGGTTTTGTGGGGTTTTTGTTTGTTTGTTTGTTTGTTTAATGAGGCTATTTGTTTTTCTAGTATTGAGCTATCTGTATTCATTATAAATTTTGGATAGTAACCTCTTATCTGGTATATGGTTGCAAATGTTTGCCCCCAATATTGAGGCTGCCATTTCATTTTGTTGGTTGTTTCCTTCACTGTGCACAAGTTTTTATATGTGAAACAGTACCATTTATTTACTTTTTCTTTTATGGCCTATGGTGTAATATCTACCTTAGTAAGATATGTAAGGGACCCATCTGATTGTGGCTGAGGGAACAAGCCAGTTGAAGACTGAATTGAGTTCACTAGAATTTATTAGTAAGAAAGTCTTTGGACATAAGAATGCTGGAGCCAGTGGAAGAGGAAGCCAGACTGGATAGGTTGCAAGGAGATAAGAATATGAAAATCTGGGATGTGAAAGAAGGTAATCACAATTGGAAAAGAAGTGAAGTCCTGGTGGCAAAGGAAAGGTGTTTTTGCAAACCAAATACTTGAATATGCTCAAAATTTGACAGAAAGAGGTCCTAGATTCAGGAAACTGAAAAGAGCAGATTTATAAAGCAGACTCTGCTCTTTATCTGTTGAGATATTGGTATGTATTTTTATTCTCTGGACTTCTTTCCTCTTTCTTTGCTTTTTGCCCATAAAATCTATCAAACACCTGAGGTATATTAATTGCCTTGAAATTGTGAGCCCATGAAATAAGATATGAAATCACAATGTGGGTTTTACATATATGTCCATACATTTTCTTTATTTATATATTCTCTTTATTCACCTCCATATTCACAAGAATATTTCCTAGGCAACACATGCAAAAATAAGCCTCTGTAAATAATCAAAACTAAACATTTTCATTTTCATTGGTCTCTAACCTCGTCTCAAGGGCCAATAAGAGAATAACATGATTTGTGGGTTTGTTCTCTTAACCTGAGCTTCTTAGGCAAAATGTTACCTCTGGTGAAGGTAGTTTGTCTATATAATCGTCAAGCAAGTCAGAAAGCAGGGAATCTCCAAAAGTAGTCTGCAAAACATCTGCCATTACTTCTTGCTGGGAAGGGGAGCAGTGGTTTTCTAAAGAGAGCACCACTGGGTACTCAGATGTCTAAAAAATTAACCAATACTATGATTATTAATCAGAACTTTTAAACAAGTTTAATACAATTAATATAAGCACTTTATTTTTACACTCACTTCTAATGTTCAGTACCCTCGCATCATAATTAAGTATTCTTTAAAGCACTTTTACATTTGAAAAGACAGAACCATTAAATCTGCATGAAAAGAAAAATTATTACATTTGCTCCAAAAGTATAGGGAAAAAAATCTAAAACATCAATCAATAGATTCTTATTTAAATTAATTATACCATATCTATATAAAGAGATAAAACAGATCACTAGTAAAGTAGAGTTACATACACTATTATTCTAAAAAGTTATCTATAATACAGTTTTTATAAAGAAAAACACATTGCCCGCTATAGTTCGATGTTGAATGTCCTCTCATGTGCAGAGGCTTGGTCCCATTTTGGCACTGTCAGAGGTAGAGAAATCCTTAGGCGGTGAGGGCTAGTTGAGGCCTTTCAGGTACCAGGGGCATGTCCTTAAAGAGGATAGTGGGATCCATCTATTCTTTTTTCTCTTTCATGTGCTGATTGTGCTGCTACATGCTTCCA